TTTTAGGTAGACTCTTCCCTACTTGATATCTGGCCCTACATCATTAAAGCGCTCTGAAACATTATAAGAATAATAATCCTTGCATTTGATATAGTGCCTTATCACATCGTCAAAACGTCTCAAAGCGCTTCACAGAATATGCTGTAAAGTATCCTACAGAAGGGCACTATATAAATGCAAGTGATTGTTTGACTTATAGTGTGGAGGATATGAGAATGAAGAAATAATGCTGGTTTCAATTCAAATGCATAAAAATATACATGTCATCCTGGCTCAGTTGATAATACTCTAACCCCTGAGTTAGAAGGTTGTGGGTTCAAGCCCCACTTTGGGACTTGGAACTTCTGTAGTCGAGGCTGAAACTCCAGTGCATTGCTGGGGGTGTTGTATGGTTGGAGGTGTTGTCCTTTGGATGAGTCATTAAACTAGGGTTCTGTCTGCTTGTTTACCTGGATGTTAAAGATCCCATAGGACTACTTAAAAAGAGAAGGGAGTTTCCCCACTGAAATGCTATGAACATCAGGTTCAACTGGCACCCAACCAATTTGCATTTAGATTTTGACTATGTATTAAAATCACCAGTGAGAAGTAGCACACTAAATGTTGCAAATAGTGATTTCAATCTTATTCTAGTAACACAATATCGGACAATATAGTTACATTAAAAATACTCAAAACCGCAAATCCTTTCCGCTCAAAAGTAACGATTACAATCATACAGTAGTCTTTAGTATTATAATAAATCCTAAATTCCAAATTTATACACACTATATTTGCATGTTGATTTATACCAACATACCTTAATTATTTTGTGCATGTTATACAATCAAATAACACATCATTTAGCAATAGATATTGTTAAACACTTGCCAATTGTGAATTTTTGAAGTTTCATAACTCTGCATTTAGCAATACACGAGCGTCTGTTTTACTCATCATTTTCCTTGTAAACAGCTTATGCAGTTATAGCACTCATAGGATAGTCAGTTGACCCTTATAGTTAACTTTCCATTGAAATAGTTGATTGTTTACTGAATTAGGGTCTGAAAAATGATCAGAATACCAGAATTACAGTAAAGTCTTTTAGCCTGCCAGACTATACAGATTCCTTGTCTGAAAGTTGTTTTCAATGTTTTATACCAGAACACACTAACCCCTTAAGCACCAAATAAAAACATACGAACAATTAACTGCGGTGATATGAATAAACCCATGACTTTTATCCTTTTATTTGACAAAACTTGGATTTTGCATGGTACATTTCATACTTCAGTTTTGAGGGAATACAAACTGCTTGATTACACTTTAAGAGTAGTTATATAGGAAATCTTTTCTTCATGCCTTGTTTATGCCGAGTCCCAACAATGACAAAGATTTACTGCAGTTTCAAAGGCATGTTCTTTGTGGTTTCCTGACTTCTTAAGGAAAATGCCTGTAGAATGATTGCCATAAATCTTTTTTGTTGTTAACATTGGGAGATTTCCTGTGCACGGTGACAGCTTAAGAGATCACTGTAAGACATTCCTCCAATCAATGTTGCCACCTAAGTACAGAAGGAATTGTGTTCTTGAATCTACTCCTAAATAATTCTTGAGGAAGGAGTCTCTGGGGTCAATGGCAGCCAATCCCATGACAAAAACTTGGATGAGTATCTTAGTGGTTAGAGTACTCACCTCACAAGTGAGAGGACCTGGGTTTGTTTCCTTACTCCACACACCTGTTTACCTAGCAGTAAGTACTGGTTGTTAGCCAATTGGCAGATCACTTTTCTGGTGGTAATAATACCTTTAAAATGCCCTTTTAAAAGAATAATAATTTGGTCATTCAATCCACGACTGTTCTAGGACACTGATGTATGCAATTGGCTGCCGTTTTTTGCCCCAAAAATATACATTCATTCACTTTATAGTATATTCTGTGTAGCGCTTTTTAGTATATTCCGTGCATCTATTAACAGTAGTTAATAGTTTTATTTTCTGTAAAGCCTTCAATCACAACTAAATATTTATCTAGATCTGCAATTAAAGGGTTAATTCAATTTCCAGGGAATCTGTTCTATATATTGACTACTTTGTGTTTCAGAATATTCCTTTCTAATCCTCAGTCTTATTTAAGATGTGTTATTTTTCTGCTATTATTCTCGACCTTCATGAAGGAATGAAGGTATGGCAATGGCAAGTTTCATTTGTGTTTCTTTTTCTTCATCTACATTTTGTATTTTTCCTCCTTCTCTCGGGAATTGGTAATCCTCAAGTATCTCATTCAAGTCGGAATTCTTCACGAGAACATACCATGACACATCCAATCTGAATACAGGTCATAGAAATGTGTAGCTTCTAAATTTCAGCTAAGAGGGAAAATGTGCCCCTCCTTAACTCTGCAATCTCTTCTGGTTCTATTCCCATACCTGTGATCTCAATTCTTCCAACTTTGGTTGGAAGAGTAGAGTAGAGGGCACAGGTCGGGGAACAATACTGTTCATTCCTCACTCCCACTGTTCTACCATCAGTGGCTGTGCCTTTCAGCCACTATGCCCTGTTCTTTGGAACTCTCTTCCACAATCTCTTTGCCTGCTCCTTTCATTAACACCATTACATTTTCCTCCCACTTCTCCCTTCTTTTTTTCCCTTTCATCTCTGTGAATGAAGCGCTTCAAGAATCTCACCCTATATGAAAGGCTCTGCATAAATGTAGATCTATCCTACAGCACCTTGGAACGTCCTCCCGACGTGAAAGAAGCTTTACAAATGTAATTTTGTATTGTATTCCCAGCCCACCTTTAGCCTGAAGAGAAAGATGAAAGCTACTGAGGTTTGATTTCTTTAAATTGGAAGCAGAAAACATTGTAGGACAAGATACTCGTCTGTAAGATGTCTTTCCAACCTCTACAATAGTACAGCTATTACACAACCACTGAACAAAATTTATAGCCTTTCAGATTCCAGAGCCAGCTCTGAGAAATAACTAAGTGGAGGCGTGTCAACACTGGCCTTTGCAACTGAGACCACCCCAGCCAAATGCTCACAGAACATGCAAGCAAAGCCATTCTTAAGTGTATTTGTATATTAATGTGATGTTGTGATAAGGGAAAATGGTAATTCAGCACACTTCTCAGCAACCTCGTAAATCAGAGGTCATGAAGAATTTTACATCAAGATGATACCAAGTATAATACAGTGTCGATATGAAGAGAGACTGGCTAAATTGGGGCTGTTTCCATTGTAGTAGGGGAGCATGAGTGAGGATATGATAGAGGTATTTAAGATTGTTAAGGGGCATGACAGAATAGAGAAAGATTATTTCCTTCATTTGGAGAATTGGTGACAAGGATGTTTTCAAGATTGTTTGTAAGGAATAGTTGTAATTTCTATAGTCGGACGGTTATTAGGGTTTGGAATTTATTGCCGCTTGTGGCTATTGAGGCTGAATCAGTAATCATTCAAAGGAGACCTAGATGGACACCTGCAAAGTTAAGTTAATAAATAGGGCTGAATAGAAATTGAAAATAAGTATCAATAACACAGACATGATGGGCTGAAAATTGCTGTTTCGTCAATGCCTGATCCTGAGACAGCAGAGTTGTCAGTAACTGTTTATGCTACTGTCAGGATGTGGATGAAAACCACCACATTACCACTAACACAGCGCCCTGCCTCCAACAGGACAAACAACACTCTGCTTACTGTGCAAAAGTGGTACAAACCTCAAATGTACTATTGGAGGCAAATAATGAATATAAATAGGCTAATCCACCACAGTGAGGTCAAACGTGGGCAATTTCAGAATAATATATAATAATCCTTGCATTTGATATAGAACCTCATCAGGTCTTCGAGACGCCTCAAAGCGCTTCACAGAATATACTGTAAAGTGAATTGACTGTATATTTTGTGGGAGAAATGCGGCAGCCAATTGCGCACAACAGTGTCTCACAAATAGTCGTGGATTGAGTGACCAATTTATTATTATTATTATTTTGGGGGGGAAGAATTATTACACCCAAAAAAGCGATCCACCAATCGAACAACAACCGGGTTCCTACTTACTGCTAGGTAAACAGAGGTAAGGAAACTTGGCCAACAATACGCCCTGCCGTGAATCGAATCCAGATCTCTCGCTTGCGAAGCGAGTGCTCTAACTACTGAGCTACATCACTCCAGATTAAGAAACCCAGAAGCAGGGCACTCTGACTGATGGTAACTCCTTCAATGCAATCTACATGGCACACTGAAGGAGGGAGTTCTTACTTGTTTTTCTTATTATAGAATTCTGTTAGGTGCTGCATATTACACAACAATATGCAGCAATATCGAATTTCCGGGGGTAATAATCCCTCAATATTCAGTCAATCCACGACTGTCAGTGGGACATTGCTGTGTGCAATTGGCTACCATGTTTCGACCACAAAATATAAAGTCAATCCATTTTGTGGAGTCCTGTAGCTCAGTGGTTAGAGCACTCGTCTCGCAAGCAAGAGACCTGGGTTCAATTCTGAGGCAGGGCGAAACGTTGGGCAACTTTCCTTACTCCACATGCCTCTGTGTATCAGTAAGTAGGAACCTGGTTGTTAGTCGATTGGCAGATTGCTTTTAATAATTCCTTACAACAAATAAAAGTCACTGAATCCACGACTATTTGTGGGACACTGCTGTGCGCAATTGGTTGTCACGTTTCGCCCACAAAATATACACTTTACAGTTTTATCGGTGAACCACTTTGAGACGTCTTAAAGAAATGATAAGGTATTATATCAAACACAAGGATTATTATTATACAATATATTCTGTGAAGCGCTTTGAGAAGTCTCAACAGCGTGATAAAGCACTTTATCAAATGCAAGGATTATTATTATTATTTCAATATATTTACTTCACAAGATCTATTTACAGATTTCAAGAATCATCAGTACAGAACAAATCATTTTAGGCACAATATACAGTATCTTTACTTGATAAATTAATCAATATATGAAATAAACTTCCAAGATGAATATAGATTACCTGAAATGGAACAATAAACTATGTGCGGAGCTATCTTGTGTATATCTTCATATCCCAGACCCATTTCTCCTAATTTTCCAGGAGTATAATTTTCAATCAGCACATCGCAAACAGATGCCAGCTGTAGGGAAGAAATCAAAGGATACTTTTTTAAATGATTAGATTTTATTTTTAAGTATTACATTAATGACGTAGAGAAACATATTTGGAACACCTACTCAATTAACTGAATTTGTACTGTTGAACAACAATAACCACTTGCATTTATATAGCGGCCGTCACACCAGACGGCATCTCGGAGCGCTTAAATGCTTAAATCTTCAATTTGTCATCCTTAAATCATTTGTCTCAGCATTTGTTGTGTTCATAGAAGCTTGGGCTCATGGCAGAACTTTTTTAAATATTCAAGATCCGCACGGTATAATTGAGCTCTAATGATGTTTAAGAGCATGGTCAAAAAATTCTAGGTCAAAGGGACACTGATTCAAGATCAGAAGAGAGAAAGAAACCTGACAATTCATACTGAAGTACTTTACAGAGAGTGAAGAAGATATGGACTAGGCTACCCAGGGAGGTAGTAGAGGCAGTGTAAATCAACTAATTCAAGACAGAATTAGATAACTATTTCTGAAGAAATTGAAAGATGGATATAAAAGATAATTGAGGGAAAAGTTGCAGTATTCCTTACTTAACGAGTGTAAATTAAGGCACCGAGTAAACCATTGGTAAGTCCTTTTGAGATCCTGCTGCCTGCCTATTTTAACCTGAAGTGGATAACTTTCCTTTTGTATATTTTCAGCCCTACATCAGGCTCCAAGTCTTTTTTTTGGTTAGATACTTTATTTTGGGACAAGCCAGTGGGATGGTTCTTTCTAGTCTTGTGCATTCTAATGTAATGCATCAGTAGGAACTATGAATGCATGAACTATTTAGGAATTATCATATTTCCTTCTCTTTATTCTAGCAAGGTCAGGGAATAAAGACCTCTGCTTACATATTAGAGAGATACACAAAGGATGATAATGGACACAAAACAACAATACAATCAAGGCAGGTTTCAAATTAGGATAAAGATTAGAATACACTATTTGCAAAATGCATCCAAACCTGGGATTCAATTACTACCTTAACTCTTACTTGGTGTATGACTAGCATACGACTGAGGATAGTACTTTATGACAAGTCGTGGAAATGTAATGGATCATGTGATAGGTCATACAATTAAGTTAATTAATAAATTACAGGGAATCTCACTAACAGGAATATAAAATTGCATGATATTTTTACAGTCACAGCATCACTAAACTCATTCGATTAGTAAAATACCCACTGACAACCTTAAGAAGTAGGGAGAAATAGGCCTTTCTATAGAAGAAACTGAGCCAGGTTCATTAACATGATATAGTCTTAATGAATAATGGTTACAAAAACAACTTAATACAAAATAAAACACTGTACAGACTTGGAGCCTGTGTTAACTCACTATACCAGATGGCCTATGTAACTCCCTTACAATTACATCCACTGTGAGTTATCGGGTCATCTACAACAGTGTAATAATAGTAAAAAAAAAGCTCAGTACATCTATGATCATTAATGATAACCTTACTGCTTCCGACGCACATTTCACTTCAAAACAATATATCACTCAGCGATATGCATCTTGAGTTTATTTCTAGAATTTGTTTAAGTTTACAGAAGTCGTACAGACCACATGCCCGCACAAAAGCAGAGCTATGAATATAAAGCATCAGAAACGGTATGTTCCACTCATCTCAGGAATCTTCACAAGCGAGTGGGTAGCTGAGCCAAACGCAATGGAAAGTCTCACGTTCAATCTGTAGGCTGTGCTAAAGTCACCAATTTCACCTAGCGGTAAGTCCACTAGAACTGGCCTCGGTACAGTATTGGGAAAGGATCACGCTCGCTGTTGATCATTATGAAGGGAATCGTGTTTGCCCATGTGCAGATATTAGGTGAGAACAGAATTAACTGCAATCTCTCTCAGTCAAATAGTCTCACCAACTAGAATGTGGCCCCATTATTCACTGGGCATGAGCACAGCCGGGAAGCACACTAAAATATGTCTGACTTTCAGGTTATCAGGTTGCTGCTGACAGTGAATGTAGAAGTACTGCCTAGCTATCATGGCCTCACTATAAAATGGGTTGGGATTTTATGGAATCCCCCTTAACTCCCAACTTATAATGGGGCTCCACTATACACAGTGCATAAAACAATTCTTGTGATATCTCGTCTCACTTGAAGACTTCTAAATTTTGTACTTGTGTCCTGTTTTTCTGTGCATCAGTTTACTTACAAAGCATTTTACAGACAAATGTTCTAGGAACAGACAGATCTAAACAAACCATTCACAAAAAACTGGAATGATAAGCTTAAATGCTACAAATATAGAATAGTTAAGAATAAGCATTTTAACTTAGATAGCTTTGGCAGCAGTTCCGTCCGACAGACATAATTTGAGTTGTGTCCCACATATGTTGAGTGCTGTTGGTTAATTGGAAATTCCTGTACAAGCATACTAGAACCAGCTGTGGAACAGAAAGGATATCAGCAAATTTAAGGATCAACACCAGAAGAGAAAAAAGGAATGAGAAGAAACTTTTGTTAGGATGTAGATTAGTTTATCACAAATGGCTAAAAGGGATTTGGATAAATACTTGAGGAAAACTGATGTTAAACAGCATGGCGAAAGAGGTGAGGAATGGGATGAAAGCACATAGCTTTTAGGGAGGAGCTGGTATGATGGGTCAAATTACCTTCGGTGCTGTAAATCTTCTATGGTACTATGAAATTTCACTACACTATTTGGGGTCAGGCTAGGTTCGTAGCACTCTCATCTCCGAGTCAGAAGGTTGGGGGTTTGAGCCCCACATTGGGACTAGATTTCATATAGTCTATGCCGACTCTCCAATGCAGTGCTGGGGGTGCACGGTATTGTTAGAGATTAGATGTCAAACTAAAGGCCCCTCTAGTCTCTAGGGAGATATTAAAGATCTCATGGCATTATTCAAAAAGTAAATGGAGGTTTTCCCAGTATCCTGACCTACAATCACCCAAATAAAATTGGTCATTCACTTCATGACTGTTTGTGGGATATTCCTGTGCGCAATTGGGCTGCTGCATTCACCTACAAATAGAGCACACAGTTACTCCACTTCACAGTAAATCCTGGGAAGCATTTTGAGATGTCCTGCAGATGTGAAAGGCACTATACCAAATGCAAAAATTATGATTATAATTGGAGGGATAGCCAGGTATCTGAAACATGCGGAAACCCATTACCAAGTTTTAAATTATCCAAACGTATTCGCAGCTTGGCAAGAGTCAGGGCTTGGGGATCCCAGAGTGTGTGTTGGGGTACTGCTGGAGTCTAACCAGCTAAAACCACATAGCTTGCCATTGATATTGCTGTTTGGCAAGCTTTCCCGCTGCTTATCCAGCAAGGACCACCTTACCCGTTAGAGCTTTGGTTTGCAGGGTTAACAGGAGCTCAGTAGGATGATTCCTACTGCTGGGCAGCATCAGTAGAGAACTAGAAATGGTGTGTGACAAGATGACTTTCTGAGAGCACATCGCCCAATAAATTTTACTGTTGCTTAATTAAATAAATCAAGCTGTATAATTTCAGTCACTAATTTATGCAAAAAATATTTGGAAGAAAAACTTTTTTCAGAACTTACATCTTTTATTATGTGTGCACCCTTGGGGTCCTTCAGGTTCACTGATATACTCTGCAAACAAAAAAAATATTACTGGAAGTGATACTTCCTTCTTACACATGACAGTAATACATAAACATTACGTGTCCTAAACCATCAACTCTTATTAAATCTTAAATTATCTTCAAGTTAAGTTCTTTAAATGTATATTTCAATGATTTGGATGCAGGAGTTGGGGGATTAATGTCTAAATTTATGGTTGATACTAAATTAGCAAGTGTTGTATAATTTCAGTTGTTGTTAAGAAGGATGAAGAGTGCAGGAAATTACAGGCAGATATTGATAGGTTAGCAGAATGGGCAGATTTGTGGAAAGTTAACTTCAATATAGAAAAGTGTGAACTGGTCCATTTTGAGAAAAAGAATAAGGAGGGGACTTTTATCTGATCTGGGTGACAACATTCTCAAACGAGTGAAGGAATAGAGGGATCTGGGGTTATAAATATAGAGTTTGTTGAAAGTGAGGTTGCGGTTAGAGAAATACAATACAAATTTACATTTATATAGTGCTTTTCATGTAGGGAGAATATCCCAAGGTGTGTAATGAACCTGGCTTAACATCTGAGCTGGGGCTGGGAGATAAGGGTCATGGAGGTGAGGGGAAAGATGCTCCAAAGCGTGGTCAAAGACCGACAACAGTATTCTGGATTTATATACAGAACCACTGATTACAAAAGTAAGAATGTGATGTACAGAACATTGGTTAGGCCAAAGGTGGAATGTCGTATGCAGATCTGGGCACCACATTATAGAAAACATATTAGAGTTACGGAGAGGATGTAGTGTAGGTTTATGAGGATAATGTGACTAAAACGATATAGCTATGAGAAGCTAGATAGGAGCAGAGAAGGTTGAGAGGAGATATGACATAGGGGTTTAAGATAATAAACGAGTTTGAGAGGATTAATGGTGAAACACTCTTTCCGTTTGGAAGAGACCAAGAGGGTGTGAATTCAAGATTGTGACCAGGAGAGTAAAAGAAGAGGCTCAGACCAAGTTCTCCTCCTGGAAGGCTGTCAGGGAATGGAATGATTTGTTGGGGTGGCTGTTTGACTAGAGTCCACTAAGGTACTTAAAAAAACTGGACAAGCACATGCACAGGAGGGGTACTTGAAGACATGAGGAAATAGGATGCAAATGATGGCTTTTTGGAGGAGTCAAACAACTCCACAAAATAAATGGACCAAATTGTTTCCGACTGTGTCATACATTTTTATGGTTCAAAGTTACATTCTTGGTAGTGCAACATACAGATATATTAAGCAGACAGGTATATTAAGATTATGCCAATTTTCTGCAAATGGTTTGGTTTACAGCATTACAATCATCAATACTTTTGTTTGGTCATCTGGGTATCTGACACATGCGGAAACCCATCACCACGCTTAAGAGTATCCAAACCAAACTGAGAATTCCATGCATCCCACCTACATGGAATTCACGGAGATAGATTCTTATAATCACTTTGAGAGCACTGGAGTTGACACTGGAGTTTAAACAATCTTTAGCTCAAATCCCCAATAAACATTCTTAATTTCTGAAAATAGCTCATAAAAATGTGAATTTTCTTCACTTAGTCAGCACAACCAATAAAATATAATCCATTGCATTTGATGCCTTTGAATAGAGGCTCATTGCACTATATAAACACAAACAAATGTTTGTGGGACACCGCTGTGCGCAATTGGCTGCCGCGTTTCGCCCACAAATATACGGTCAATTCACTTTACAATATATTCTGTGAAGCGCTTTGAGACATCTAGAAGACGTGAAAAGTGCTATATTAAATGTAAGGATGATTATTATTATTATTATTATTATTATGTGTTTTCTCCTTCCACACCAAAAACCTAGAGATCTTTCCTGCATCAATTAGATTCTAAAGTTATGAATTCATTTAGATTCATTCAAATGTTTCATTAAAAAACATAATCATATTTAAGAACAACTCGCATTTATATAGCGCCCTTCATGTGGGGTATCGTCTCAGAGCGCTTAACGGTGGTGGAGCCTGACGCTGAGTCGGGGAAAGGAGGAAGAGGAGGTGAGTGAGCATGGTCGAAGAGCAAGGTCTTCAATCGTGGTTTAAAAGAGGGGAAGAAGGGGACAAGGAGGAGGAAGAGAGTTCCAAAGCTTCATAGTGCTGAAAGCACAGCTGTTGATGGTGGAGTGGGAGGGGACGGGAGTATATACCATATACAGCATCATTACTGTCTCTTTGCCTTTATGCAAGGATTCTTGTCCTAAGTCGGGGCAGAGAAGCAGAAGACTTCTTCTGCTTCTCTGTAAGCAGAGACTTACTCTCAAATCATTTAAGCCATACCTTTTTATTTCGATTCACACTGAGAAAATAAACACTTTCTGTTTCTACAAAAGGTGGACCCCAAGCCCTAGTGTCATCACCAGAACCTAGAACAGAAGGAAAAGAATGGTAACTTTTTAAAAGAATCACAATGAAACAACAGATTTAATGGAAACCTGTGAACTATGAAGCACTCTCCAAATCAAAGTCGTTTTCCCAACAAGTCTAGTTTTGTTATAAAACCCTACACTAAGATGCATGAAAGCACCATTTTTTTGGGGGGGAAATACTCTTTGGATAGTAAACAGTGTGGCTATATTAGGCATATTAATATTTGAGTATGTTCACTAAAATAGGTCAGGATTAAGTCAATGTAGCATCACTTATATTGTGACGAATCTCTTTGGAATCAAATACTCCCACTTAAAACTAATTTTAAAACACACCCACACACAATTAAATGTCATTAAAGTGCAAATATATCTCAGCCCTTTTCAACTACGCATTTAACATTCACTCAGCACTGCTGCAATGAAAGACATTTAACAATGCTAACCTCACTTAATGATGTGCTTGCTGTTACATGATGTAGTTGCTTGAGTGTGAGAGAACATTGCATTAGCCCAGGCATGAACAATTATTAAATATATATACACACTATAATTGTACTTATGTACCATGAGGTATTTAAAGTTGATAACTCCCATTAATCATAATTAGGGCTCTGATTTTCTGGGTTTATTAATATGATTTGATGAGGTTTATTTAGCAATTGTTTAGCAAATTTTGGAGTGTTTATAAATGGGGGGTTGGGGGCTTGTGTTATTGTCATGAGAAGATGCCTGAGCACATGGAGGGGAGAGAGGCCTCTCACACATGTGTGGTACGTCCCTCCTCTCACAAGCACTTCTACAGGCGCTCCTGCGCACACGGAGAGGGAGCGGGATACTCGCGCAGTCGGCCAACCAGGACACCGCCAAGAGCGAGTGAGAGAGAAAACCTCACTTTAGAATTACATCGGGACAGGTATTTCTGGTGTTTATTGCATAAACACGGATTTCAATTTATTCGCCCACAAAACATACAGTCCAACACTTTACAGTATATTCTGTGAAGCGCTTCGAGACATCTCAATGATGTGATAATGTGCGATATCAAATGCAAGAATTATTATTTGCATCAGGGGATGGGGGGGGAAATGGCTTCAGCTAAAAATGATAATGTAATCAGAAGAAGCCCTATTCATAATCTACCAACTATTGGAAATGATAATGCCCCAAACCACAGGGACAGGTGGAGCCCACCAAGCCTACTCTGCCAGATCATGACAGATCTTGTAATTCTATTGCCCCAATTTTTTTCTTTATGTCTTAATACCCTTCATTTTGAAGCATCTATCTATTGTATCTCTTATCAGACTCAATTAATAATCCTTGCATTTAATATAGCGCCTTATCAAGTCTTTGAGATGTCTCAAAGCGCTTCACAGAATATACTGTAAAGTGAATTTACTGTATATTTTATGGGTGAAATGTGGCAGCCATTTGCGCAGAGCAGCGTCCCACAAACAGTCGTGGATTGAGTGACCAAAATTATAATTTTTTTGGAAGTAATTGTTATCTCCGGAAAAGTGATCCGCCAATTGACTAACAACCGGGTTCCTTCTTACTGTTAGGTGAACAGAGGTGTGTGGAGGGAGGAAACTTGCCCAATTTTTCGTCCTGCCCGGTAATTCAACTCGCCTTGCGAGGCGAGTGCTCTAATCAGAAAGCTACAGGACGCCACCCACTACGCTATGACTCCAACTGACTGCATCACCAACCTCCTGGACAGTGCACACTTATGAACAAAACACAAAATGCTGCAGATGCTGGAATCTGAAACAAAACAGAGAGAGCTGGGAAAACAATGTAGAAAGGAAAGTGAATCAACGTTTTGGGTGTTGACTCACTTTCCTTTCTCCATAATGTTGCCTGACCTGCTGAGTTTTCCCAGCTCTCTCTGTTTTTGTGCACATTTATTGTTTGACTCCCAACTTCCTTTAAAATCCACATTTGTGCTCTGAGCTACTTATCTTTCCCCCACCTCTGAAACATTGTTTATTCAGCTATATAAATGTAAATTTGTATTATAGTGTTATATAGTCCAGCATCCTATCAGTTAATTAATTGCTTTCTGTGTCTGCAAACTATGTGCTCACTTGCCTAATCTATGTTCCTGTGTCATTTGGTGTTATTGATCTCACAATTTACCACTCCTAACTGTGTCATCAATAAATTTAGAAATCTTCCTCTTTATTATTAATGGGTGTTAGTTGACTCATTGCTTACCCTGTCAAAACAGTGTGAGGCAGCAATAAACAAGCTAACCAAGATGCTGCGCTCTATTACCCAGCAGTCAATCAGTTAAATTCAGACCCTAGAAGTCATACTCAAGCTATGCAGCCCTCTGGTCAGGCTGCACTGTTCTGCACGGCCATCATATAAAGGGGGCTCCCCAGGCCCTAGAGGCAGTAGAGAGAAGAGAACGAGATGATCAACTACCATATGTATGCAGATACACCCAACTCTATCTCTCCGCCTCCACCTTCGACTCCAGGACCACTGCTGTCCTCACAGACTGCCTGTCGGACATCGTCCTGGTTCATCCAGACTGACCCTCCTGCTTGGCTTCCTTCAGTGCCTTCATACCTCGGGCGCTGACAGCATCACCCTTCATGGATGCCCTCTACACCTCACGGAGCCAATACGGAACCTCAGCGTTCTGTTCAACCATCAACTGTCCTTCAACCCCCATTTCATCCGACTCCATTGGCTCCCCTTCACTCAGAGGATCCTGTTCAAGATTCTGGTCCTCACCTTCAAAGCCCTCCACGGCCTTGCTCCCCCCTACCTCTGTGACCTCCTAACCCCCTATCAACCTGCCCACTCCCTCCACTCAGCGAGCTCCGGCCTGCTTCACGTCCCCGCCTTGCCCACCCCACCATTGACAAGTGGGCCTTCAGCCTTTCTGCCACACCCTCTGGAACTCCATTCCACAGGCCCTCTGCCTCGTCCCCTCCTTTGCCTCCTTCAAGACCCATCTCAAGACCCTCCTCTTCGACAGTGCCTTCGTTCACCCTGCTACCACCACCCTCCCTGACTTCCACCCCTCCTGATCCCAACCAGGGCGGATCCCTGACTGTCCAGCACCTCGAGACATCCTCCTGACATGTTGTTGATGAACCCCAGTGTTAAGAGCAATGAGCTATGAACAACAATTAGCCAAATTAGGGCTCTTATCTTAAGAGAAGATGACTTAGAAGGCCCTTTATAAAGGTGCATAAAATTTTAAATGGTATTGAAAAAGTAAGTCCAGAACAAAACTTTAGGATGCAACAAAGCAGTAGAACAAGAGGATATATTTTTAGATTTGCAAAAGGCAATTTCAAGACAGTCACAAGGAAGTTTTGTTTTACTCAGAGTGTAATTAATGATTGTAACAAGTTGCCAGGAAGAGTGGCTGACGTCAGGTCAATGGGTGCATTTAAAAAGCAGCTTAATGCTGTGATAGGGAACGGTAAGGGGGCTGCTCTGGAGGGATGAGATCAGATGGACTGAAGGCCCTCCTTCATCCAAACCGATCTTGTGAGGTGATTCAATACAACAGTATCTGGTACTGAGAGAAGCATCATTTCCACAGCTAACTGAGAGCCTCTAGTGGATGAAGCCAAATATTACAGCAGCTGGCAAAACTCTCCAAACAACCAAGAATAAGAGCATTTATTTTTGTCAAATCCTGGGCCTACTTAACCAAAAACTTTTATCCTGCCCTAGTCTTACTTGATCAGCATGCTAAATTGTACAACCTGTATTATTACATATTACAAGAAACTAACATCTACATTCTTCAATGCTAACACCACTATGCGGACAGGTGAATGATAATAACGATTATTATTATCAATTATTAATAATAACAATAATCCTTACATTTGATATAGTGCCTTATCACATCGTCAAAATGCCTCAAAGCACTTTACAGGAATTGCTGTAGAATGTAATAACTACATTTTGTTGGCGTACAAGGCATCCAATTTTTGCACAACAATATCAAACAATTCTATCCTAGCAGATTAGTGACCAGAACAGCATGGACTGCCTTCTTTTTGAATAGTGCCATGGGATTGTGAATGTCCATCTGAACAGGCAGCCAGGACCTCAATTTAACGTCTTATACAAAGGGCTGCACCTTCAATAATGCAGGGCACTGTGTTGGAGTGTCAGCCTAGAGATAAATCCACAATTTTCTAACTCAGAGGCTAGAGTACTACAAACTAAGCCAGGCTGACACCCAGACCACAGAAGGACATTTCAAAGTGCTTCACGGAAATATAATATAAAGTGTAATGATTGTCCATTCTGTGGGAAAATGCAGCAACCAATTTGCACATAGCAATGTCCCATAGACAGTCATGAAGTGAATTGACCAATTTTATTTGGGGATTGGTGGCCAGCATGCCATGAGAAACTTTTTATTTTCTGATCAGTTGTGCTGTCAACATCTGAGTCACTCATCATTACCAACATGATTTTCAACCCATAATTTTGGAAAACATCTGCAGCCTGTTAAATGATCTATTTTAAACATGCAGGTCACTACTTTTGGATTTATAACCATAAAGACATTAACCCTGTTTTCTAAAGTTTCAAGTTAAGAAAACTAAGGTAGCAATGCAGAAAAACTTCCATAAATCTGATCTGTATAAATCGTATAATCACCTGAGTTGTACATCTACCCAAGTCCGGTTCCTATTAAATCCACTTAAACGTATCTGCATTTACATTTACAATCACACCAGCCTCAAACAGAACACCTCCAACGTCTTCCCCTCCTGGGGGCATAACATCAACATCATGGCACACAGCAGTGTGGGGATGAGCGGGGGCAGAGGGGCTGAGAGAGGAAAGAACGTCACCTGAACATGTGGAGGACGAAGGGGACTCGTCTCAGTGTATTATGAGTGGGAACTCTGCTCATTCATGTCATGACTGGAGCACAGCCTTGTGGCTACAGGAGCAGTGCTGTACTGAGTGTTGGGATGCGCATGCGAGGTGTTCCGTTTGAAGTACGTGCGGGAAACAAAGTTTTGACCTGGAATAAGAACATAAGAACTGCAAGACGAAAAAAGATCAAGGTACATCCAGTTCGCCTTCCACCTTCCTGGTGGTCTCATGCACATACGTCTCAAACTACCTATGTACTACAGTATATCTCATAAGGCAGCCAGTTGGTTCAGCAGTCGCAAGTGTGGTAGTGCCCGTCACGAGTTGTGCGATTGTTAATACGGTTTCCTCCAAACTAACAGCTCCAACAATGACAACAATAACTTGCATTTATATTGCGGCCCTCATGCAGGGTAAAACATAAGGCTACAGATTTGTATCATCTCCCACTGCAAGAAAAATACAATAAAACGCAACAGGAACATTCAAATAAAACATTGACAGATAATAAAACAAGTTGAAAAGTATGTGAAAATAGTTGTTCTGGAAATTGATGGGCCTGAAAATTTCCATTTTGAAATTTTGTCGTAATGTGTTCATCCCATCTAGGCTCGGCTACGCCAACTCCCTGCTTATCGGCCTTCCCAACTCTTCCCTCCACAAACTGCAGATTATCCAGAACTCTGCAGCTCGTATCCACTCGCGCACCAAGCTCATCAATATAGACAACTCTAAGTATAAAAACGGAGGTTCCTGGGGTACAATACTATAAAATAGACTGTCACTATACTTTACCTACAATAATTGTGCAAAGCACTTTGAGATATCCTCCTGACACGAAAATACAAATAAAACTCAATTCTTGATGCAATTGTGTGTCAAGAAATATATCTCCTGTTTATGATACTTAAGAAAGCGGTATAATGCAGTTGATACTTCATTTCTCTCCACTTATTTAGAGTCTGCAAATGCTTGGATGGGATTAAGGAATATTCTATACATTAAAGCATATGTAGAGACGACTCCTGGTACTCCTGACACTGCAAGAGAATGCTCAGTCCATAAGCACCATTAGTTCAAAGGCCAGAATGGAATTCGGTACTATACCTACACCGAAACAATCTAATGCAGCACCATCTAAGCATTTGATTTGCCTGGCACAGAGAATATATAGAAGATGGATGGCAAATTGACAAGACACATTTTATGAAAAAAGTAGGAAGAAAGAGGAAGAACAGCATTTGATTCTGAAGACCAATTGGCACACTTTCAAGCCAACTTAATTGTCAGAATATTGGGCAATCAAAGCATGTTGGGAATTACAAGATAGATCTCGGTGGTACTGAACCACATATTGACTGCAGGCAAGTTCACTACAGAGTGGATGCCAACCAACACAATGTCTGGAAATCAGTCCTCTCACACGGATACAGCACCATAGGAGCAACATTAACATCTGCTCTGCCTGAGGCTGTACATTTAGTTTCACTTCAATTACATGCTTGTAATCCAGTGCAATGAAAACACAGGGTAGACACTGTTAGCTTCAACAGTAGTTGGCACCAATGTACAACATGTGAAGCCAAACACAATCTGCATGGTGTCTGTCTTATTGGCAGAGATTCTGCCGATTGAAATGGTATTCAATCATGACTTTACCAACTTCTCTTGCCATTGCTAGGAATGCACATGCACAGGCTGTTGTAGCAACTCCTCATAGGCAGATTAGTGGGACACTTTATAATTTGGAGGTTGAAAATGTCTAATTTACTGAAGGGAATCTGCATTCTCCAAAAATGGGAGTTTTGGGGTTCTGCAGTAATGGAATGTATTTTTCTGCCTTAAATCTTCTGATAGAAACTCTCTTCCAGTGTTTATAAAGACTATTAATGCTTCAAAAATACATGATTGTATCCAGAGAAACCTTTCAACTCTAAGACCAACTGTAAGAAATATTTTTATTTGTGAAACCTTGCGAGTGTCAGTAAGTAGATGGGACATGGACTCTGGTATTGCTCCTGCATTAAATTAAGTTAAAATAAATGTTTAAAACAGTATAACAAACAAAAACAAAGGCAACTTTTCTTCATAGTTTCCTTATTGATTTCATATGTACCAAGTGATGTCAATGCTGGTATTGATCACAATGTTAGTTTAACACACGGAATATATAAACAGACTGTTGGAATGGAAACACTGCTTCAGGTTCTGGAGATTAAATGCAACCAGCAAAATAATAGTGCATCGTGAATATCAAGCTCGGTTCAAAAGGCTCAGAGGACTGAAGTACAGCAATAAACAAAAAGAACAGAATATTAACAAAGATAACATGTATAAAGTTGTCTAAAGAGTACAGCACAATTGTGTCTCAGGCAGATATTTTGCATTGTTTATCCTAACACTGAGATTGGAGCTCAAGAATTTTCTTCCAAACACTATACACTCTACATAAATAAACGCACCCTGCAATTCCAGAATTGCAACATCCCTACTACGTGCATTTGGGAGAGATGCAAGCATCTTATCCCTCCAGCTCCAGTTGAATTGGGCAGTTTGGTACGTCACTGTGCAGATATGTGACCTACGAAACCCCAAGTTCTCATAGTCCAAGCGTTAAGACCATTCTCTTAAAATGTAAAATAGCAAAAATTTTAAAATTCCTAAATTCAGCCTTAATTTGCAAGCTAGTTTTCTGAAATGATTAAAAATAACTGTAGACTGTCAAACCAACACTATATGAACGATTTCGGCAACGAATAGCATCCTTTACAGAAACATTGTTTCTAACACTATTCAGTAAAAGCAGAGTGAAAATTATATGTGAAGTTTCATAGAATTGATTTAAATATTTCAAGTCACCATTAATATTTATAGTTTAGTACTGTATCCCATTAATGTAAACATATATTATTGCTTTAATTTTAAGACATAAATATTCCAAAACATTTTCCAATGAAGCACAACTCCACAAAGATTATATTTTGCTCCTCATAACTCCTATGAGTAAGTATTATAAATTTTACAGCTATAAATTAAAGAGTGTTATTTCTCCTCAGGGAATTTGATTCCATCATAAATAAAGACAAGAACCTAACAGTTCAGCAGAGGGAGGAAAAATAGGAAAACAGATTTTTTCCACTGAGACTATAAGTTAACAAGTTGGTCCCCCGTTATTACACAGTGCCACCAGTCAGCACTCTTGGCTCAATAATGCTGTTGCCACGGACATCACCAAACCATGCTTAGAAAGCAAGCAACTGCGCTCGCGAGCATTTGCAGCAGCAGCTAGACACCTGCTCGCTATAGCTGGAAGCGTAGCCCAGGTCTGCAGTGCAACAATGTTATAAGCAGAGAGTGGTAGACTGAAGTGCGGTATATATTTTGAGGATACTTTTAGTACCAAATGAGAACAAATGAAAAACTAAATGTATGTTTCTGAAAGTGAAATCTAAACGTTTCTGTCGTGCATTATCAAGTGGCAAGTCCATTGAAACCTTGAAGGGAATACCAGTATCTAAACCTGAGCTTCTGACCCAACAATTAGGTGACTTCTCTCAACAGATGCAAACTCAGTTTGTGCTAATGTTCTTTAGCCAAGGTACAATAGTCCATTACCTTTTTTTTCTACTTTGATGACTTCTGCGCCCAAGTCTCCTAAGATCATGGTAGCAAAAGGTCCTGCTAATACCCTGTTTGGAATGGAAAATGGAAAAGTAATTATAATTCTTAGAATCATAGAACATAGCAAATTCTTACCAGAACATTTTTTGTTAGTTTTGCATTGTACCTTGTGAGATCCAGTACTTTAATTCCTTCCAGAGGTTTTACATTGCTGTGACCTGAAAATCAAAAACACAAAAATATTAAAGAGAGCATAACATGTTATCTGGAATCATAAGAGATAACTTCAGCTTCATGGCACACACATGATGGTTATCTTCATGGGAAAACATTGATATCTGACAATTTATGACCCTCTAGAAAATGAAAGCACGGTCGAAGAGGATGGTCTTGAGGCGTGCCTTGAAGGAGGCAAGGGGGAGAGTGAGGAAGGTGGGATGGAGTTCCAGAAGGTGGGAACAGAGAGGTTGAAGGCCCGACCGCCAATGGTGGGCCGGGCCAGGAGGGGAATATGGAGCAGGCAGGAGTCTGCTGAGCAGAGGGAGTGAGGGACAAGCAGGAGGCCAGTCAGTGCAACAGAAGGCCAGTCGGTGCAACAGAAGGCCAGTCGGTGCAACAGAAGGCCAGTTGGTGCAATAGAAGCACCAGGTGGTGGATTAAGGAGTGAGGAGGTCGGAGAGGGAGGGAGGTGCCGGGGAGTGAAGAGATTTGAACACAAGTGTGAGGATCTTGAAGTTGATCCGTTTGGTGATAGGGAATCAGTGGAGCCTGGCCAGAACTGGTGAGATATGGGTACAGAGTTTGGTCCGGGTCAGTATGTGGGCAGCAAAGTTCTGAATGAGCTGGATTTTTTGAATAGTGGAGCTGGGGAGATCAGCGAGGAGTGTGTTTGAGTAATCCAAGCGGGAGGTGACAAATGCATGCACAAGGCTTTCGTCTGCATTTGGGGCAAGGTACAGTCGGAGATAGAGGAAGATGGTCCTGATCAGGGACCAGATGTGGGGGAGGAAGGTTAGCTGGGTGTCGAACCGGATGCCTAGATTGCGCACTGGTTCGGTGAGCCTGAGAAAGAGCCCAGGGAGGTTGAGGAGTTCAGATCCGAAAGAGAAACCATTTGCTGACATGAAGTGGAGGTGGTTGGTTAGACATAAGCATGCCTTCAATCCCAAAAGTCAAGCTCAGGTAAGCTAACAGTGTTTCAAAAGCTGCAGTTATCTTCACAATAAGTTATTTTTATAATGAACAGCAATGATAAATATTAAAGTTTCTAATTAAAAGAACATTTTCAGTTTTAAAATGTGACATCTCAAAGGGATCCTTATAGAGGTATTCACAATTTTAAATGAGATTGCGCAAGTCAATCCAGACAACAATTTCGGATGCACTGAGACAGCAGAACAAGAGGACTCAGGTTTAAATTTGCAAAGGGCAATTTCGGGACACACACCAGGAAGTGTTTCTTTACAAAGGGATATTAACAACTGAAACAGGATACCAGGCAGGGTGGTTGAAGCCCACAGACTTCTGTAAATAATAGCTTGGTAAGATGAGATCAAGTGGGCCAAAGAGCTTTCTTCATCTGAAACTCTCTTATAATCTTGCGAGTCTAATAGGGTCTAATTTTCTGTGCTTCTTTATGGGAATCCACACAAATAGGGATTCCTTCCAGTATCTGGATGTACATCAGACTGACCCACGGGAACTGATCTATTCCTGGGGCAGAGTTCCTCAGATTGACAGCAATTTTAACGGCATTCCTTATTAAGGAAACCAATTAAGAAATACCACAAATTAGATCTCGATATGGGGATTCGTTTTTAAGATTGTCACAGTTGAGAGTTGCTTCCAGCTAAATGGTAGAAATGTAGAATACATTAAACCAACCATGGGAGTCCTCAATTGCCTATCCTGTGAGACACAAACTGCCTATATTATGAATAGCTTTTGTTCTGTTGAAAGGGGCTCTCTTTGCACCCACACAATATATACCACCTCAAAAGCATATGCAGCAGGATGGTAATTTCCTGAACAACATGAAACAAACTCTTTTCGGGTGAAACTTCAGATGTGGTTTCAGAGCAGTCATATCCCTGAGACCAGATGTGGTATGGTTGGTTGACCGCTAAAGTCATGATTGACAAAGTAACTTTCCATTTGAAAATTGTAAGTTCACATATGGGTTCAGATTTATGCAGGATATCTTACTGATTCCATACAAACTTAGATTCCATACTTTCAAAAAATAATCATTTCATTTGATATAGCACCCTATTGCAGCAAAAAGTTCTTCACAGAGTTTTCTGTAAAGTGTGGTGAATATTTTGAAGGTGAATGCGGTAGCACAACAAAGTCCCTCAAACAGCAATGAAGAGAATAATCATTTTTTTTCTCTCTGGTCGATTGTTGCCCAGGTTATTGGGAGAAACTCCTTTCTCTTTTCAAATAATGCCATGGGGACCTCAGATTTCCCTCTCATCTGAAGGACAGGACCTCCAAAACTGCATTGGAGTATCATCTTAGAATGAGGCTCAAAGAAAAGGGATTTTATATCAGACTTTTCTTCGACACTCTTGGCATGGAGGAGAGAAAAGGCTGTTGTCCGACTGTACACTTGAAAGAAAAGTAAGAACTTGAATCCAAACTGAATTCAACTTCAAGCCTGGATTGAGAAGTTGTTGGCAGCGCTCCCAAATCAATGAATGTTTTCACAAAGTCCAGATCAAGCGATTGATCATTTCACCAAAGACCAACAGATTCCATTCATCAGGATATAAGGCTGTTCCGTATAATGTCCAGAATGTGGCATTATATTATGCCTAGGTACTTGAAGCCTAGTTTTTGCCATATTTAATCATAATAGACAGGAGTATGGCTCTGGGAATCCACAAATAAGTTTATGCCAATGCTCACAATTCATGCTGCATGCAAACCTTCTTTCATCCTTCACTGAAACAAACGCCTATGAACAACCAGATATCTGCAGAGGAAAACCCCCGAACCTGATCTAGAACACAAAGTATAAAAACTTCCTTCCAGAACACCCTACCATCTTCCAATCAGTTTTTTAAAAAAATGATTATAGCATTCTGGCCTCAATCATCCTTCCATGATCTGTTGCAGTCTTTAATTATAAGATAACAACAGTAAAATTACATTTGTATAGGGCCTTTCACATCAGGAAGACATCTCAAAGCGCTGGACAATCAGTGTTTTGGATCCGAGCTGGGGGTCAGGATCGGGGAGGATGGAGGGCAGGAGGGGAAGGAGGGTGACCAAAGTCACGGTTGAAGAGGAGGGTCTTGAGATGGTTCTTGAAGGAGGCAAGGGAGGGAGGAAGAGACGGGGTGAGGCGGAGGGATTGCGGGAAGGAGTTCCAGAAGGTGGGGGCAGAGTGGCTGAAGATCCACCCGCCAATGGTGGGGTGGCGAGGTGGGGTATGTGAAGCAGGCTGGAACCCCCTGGAGGGGAGGGAGCGGGCAGGTTGGTAAGGAGTTAGCAGGTCACAGAGGTAGGGGGGAGCAAAACCATGGAGAGCTTTGAAAGTGAGGACCAGGATCTTGATCTGTATCCTGAGTCGGGCGAGGATGGGGGTGATAGGGTTGCAAACCCTGATGCGGGAGGACATTAGCTGCAGAGTTCTAGATGATCTGCAGCCTATGGAGGGAAGAACTGGGAAGGCTGACAAGCAGGGAGTTTGAATAGTCAAGCCTGGATGTTATGAATGAGCATATGAGGGTCTCGGTGGCCTGCACGTGAGACAGTCCGGAGCCAAACAATGTTGCGGAGTTGGGGAAAGGCAGAGTGGGTCATGGCACAGATGTGGGGTATGAAGGACAGTTGAGTGTCAAACAGGTCACCGAGGTTCCATATTGGCTCTGTGAGATGTAGAGTGCAATGCCTCCATGGAGGAAGATGCTATCAGCGCCTGAGGTATGGAGGTGCTGACAGAAGCCAAGCAGGAAGATAACAGATTACCTTCTGGGTAAAGAAAAACTTCCTGGTGTCTGTCCTGAAATTGCCTCATGCAACACTATACCTAAGTCCTCTTGTTCCACTATGTTGGTGGATACTAAAATATTGTTCTGTGTTTACTTTTCCAATTCTATTTAAATTGTTTTATACCTCTTTTAGATGCCATCTAAGATTGCCCCTTTCAAGACTGGAAAGATCTAGTTTGTCTAATCATTTTTCATAGCTAATTCCTCTAACATTAGGATCATCCATGTTGCACTTCTCAAACTGTGTGATTTAGTGCAGCCACAACAGCCACCCCCCAACCCCCCCAACCACCGTGAATTGCTCCACTTTTGTATCAATACAGTAATAGTCGTGCAAAGTGATAGAACAGACTTGCGACCGCAAGTCTAGGACTTATAAATGCTCGTAACTCCTGAGGTGATTACAAATGTAGACATTCCTGGTCCTTTATTCGCGTCTACTGCAACAATCATTTCAAGTGCTGCAAGCACACTGAAGCCACCCAAAAAAATGTTTGAGAACCACTGCTCTGGGGCCTGGCAGCCCTCTTACGTATCGAGGATCAGAACAGCATGCAGTACTCTAGGTACAGCCTGACCAGAGTACTACGCAGCTTGAGTATAACTTCTGGGAATCTGAACTCAAATGATTTGGCAAAATAGTTCAGCATTTGCTTCACACTGTTTTTACACTGTTACCTAAGAGAACAGACTATTGCATCAGTCTGATACTGAAACAGAGGGTTAGTTTGTATTGATCAAAACTAGTGTCCTAAAACCTCTCAGGAAAGTCCTAGTGGTGTGCACTGTCCCCACAGAATTCCCCACAAACTCATCCAGAACCAAGGATAATTCAGGATTAGTAACCGTGATGTCCTGCAGTGAATATTAGACAACGGGGGCTTCTACTCCAAAAGCAGATCTTATTGGAACAGAATTTCAACAAGTTAATACGATGTTAAGAAATTCTGTTAGAAATCACCAAATATTAAACCTAATTATTGCATCAGCCAAATATTTTAAGGCAGATTGTGCCAAAAGGCATAACAGAGATTGTAAGGTTTTCACAGAGTAAAAGTCTGCCTGGTCATACCATGTTTGTGCACTTCTTGGGAGGTATAGGCTCATACTTCCTCTTGGCTTCTTGTTCAAGGCTGGTTAGTGACCGATATTTCAATCAGAGTTTACAGGGTGAACCGATCTTTTTGGTTTTTGGGAAGGGGGGTTATTTCTCTCTCCAA